TCATGGCAGCAGGGAGGAGGTAAGTCAGGGACTGACTAAAATCCAAAGTGATGCTGAGCAGGACATGCTGCCTTGAAAGGCCTTGATGGTCCCTCAGTCACTCACTGCCTCCCAGAGCACTGAGCACATCCAGAGCACCCACCTTCCCTGCAAACATCACTGGGGTGCTGAGCCCTGCTCTGACTCATGACACAAGTTCTACCAGTAACTTGGGTGGGAGCAGAAGTCCTAGCTGAGCACTCAGAAGGGTTTCCCCATGAGGAGCAGCCAGAGCATGGGCTGGAAAACCTCTGAGAGCCCACCCAGACAGACTCACCTGGCTGAGGAGCTGAGCTGACCTGACTTTGACGTTCTTAATGCGGATCTCAAGCTCATTTTCTGAATCCTGCAGTTCTCTTTCCTGCAAGGAGCAGAAATGGACAATTGTACACCAGCAACTGTCCAGCAGATGCTTCTACACCTCTGTCTCTCCACTGGGAGAACTATACATGGGTCAGCAGCAGGCAACTGTTCAGCTCCATGAACAGATCCTGGGGGAGCGGCAGCTCTGCTCAAGGGGCTGATTTCTGCCAGGAAATTGGGTTTAAAGAGGGGATTCAGGTGCACAAGTCACACCACATTTAACATGTGCAGGCTGATGAGTCTTACACCTTCAGTGCTCTTGGCCAGCAGAGGTGTCCACCTTGCTCTGCAGCTGGTTTTGATCACCTTATGATGGGGTAAAGGCAACTCAATCACAGCATGAACAGCACGTTTCAGGTCTCAGTCCTGCACACCATTAAAACTGGGTTTTGATGGGGTTTTTTAAATTGCATTTAACATGACTTTTAGAAGGTATCTCCCATGTGATTGAGTAGCCATTGTCTCACCAGCCAGGTAGCTGTGCCAGACACCAACAGAGCTGCTGGGCTCCTCACTCAGGATCACACACCTCGGCTGGAAAAGACCTTAAAGACCGGGCAGGGCAGGAACAAGACCCAGGACAGTCTGACCTGTGCCAGCATTCCCAGACCCCTCCCCAGCAGCCCGGGGCCCCGTGCTCACCTTCTGGCTGTGCCGGAGCTGCAGGGCCACGAGCTGCGTGTCCAGCTGTGCCCTCAGGGTGCTCAATTCCGCGTCCTGGCGCTGCCGCAGCCGCCCCAGCTCCCCCCGCAGCCCCGACAGCAGCTCTGCCCTTTGCTGCCGCTCCTGGAGGGGGGAGAAGCACCTGAGCTGAGCGTTTGACAGCCCCTCCTCACGACCCCAGCCAAAATTTCCCGTCGCCCAGGGCAGCAGGTTTCCAGCCTGGGGTGGGCAGAGCCCTCAGGGCTCCCCCAGAGGTACCTCCTCCTCGTACTGATCCCGCATCCGCGCTAAAGCCTCCTGGTGCTCCTCCTTCATCCTCTCCATCTTCCTCTCGTGGTCCTTTTCCACTTCCAGGCGTTTCTCTCTCATCAGCTCGCTGAGCTGCAGGGGTGACACGGAGAAATGTGTCTCCAAACTGCTGCACCAGCACAGCCCCCCCAAGGGAACCAGGTCTCACAGGAGCACAAGGACTCGTGTTCAGAGAACCTTCCAGTTGGGCTCAGGCTGTGGGCTGGGCAGAACAAGGCAGGCAGCCTGAGGAGGGGAGATGCTGCAGGGGTGTCCCTTCCCCTGAGGCACCACTGTCACCCCTGGGCAGGGGATGTGGCCTCTCACACCTCACCAGGCATCCAAGGAGAGAGGGAGAAGAACCTCCAGCAGAACACTTGCCAGATGAACACTTGCCTCACGTTCATACTCTGTTACT